AAAATATAAGCTCTTAATTATTTTAGTAATATCAAAATTCAATATATATTACATAATATGTTACAACTACTAGACAAATCCTTTTAATCATAAATAAGCATTTGTTTACCTGCTAGTATTCTATTCGTGTTTTAGTTTAGATAGAGCTATTAAAAATCAGACACCTCGGACACCTCATTAGAAAAGGCGAGACGCCCACTAAATTAAGTGGGGTTGGTGTTTGCTAGCACGCGATATAATAATGAACCAACACTTACGGCTAGGACACCTTCTTTACACTGTTACCATACTGCAAAATAAATTGTGTACTTTCCTGAGAATCACTTTAACTACAATAGTTACAACCAGAAAAGACGTTAAACTGATAATAACTGGCACTAAGAAAATAAATTTACTTCCTTAATGTAATTTTCAAGACATTTTGTGCGTTTTAGAGTGTTTTGCTACGTAAATTCCGTATTATAACCACAAACAATTCTTGTACATAGACTCGCCAGTAATACTTTGATAGCTATGTTGAATAACAAGGTGAATGCTTGCAATTCGCCATTTTGTAAACAAAATTGGTCTAGTAGTTGTTCGTCGTTGTTGTACACACCTCTTATGCATACCGTATTTTGTTGCCTTCTATATTATTAGATGCCATTTAATTATACAGTGTGTTAGGGATAATATCCGAAAGCTTTAAATAATCATATAGAATTAGACACCTATAGATATACATAAAGATAGTGAAAAATTACAGATTAAATCCCGAAAGTATTTTTTTTTTTTTGGCATAGGCAAGTTACCATTCAGCCAGACACAGATTCGTCCATAATTAGAACTACCCAATAATATTTCCCAACAGCAAAAGGTACGACAAGAAGAAAAACAATATATGACGGGGACACACACTTCTCGTCCAGGGACCTATCAGGACGTTTTTATTAGACAAACATAATTAGGCCTCGGTAAGGGGGTAAACAAATAGGTAAGTATTATTGATATGTAGCATATAAAAGGAGAAAAGAAAGAGCCTAGAAGGTAAAAGAGTATATTTGAAGAAGAGTAAATCTACAGTCAATCACATAAAGTATACCGAGAAAACATTTTCTAAAGTAGGCATTGGAAAAATTTACGCAATTCTTCTTTGTGTCAGTTTGGATCTAAACCTCTAAACTTATAATATTGTTATGTTTCTTAGGTTGTTTTTAAATTTTTAATAGAAACTTTAGACTGGATCTTCCTATGTCTCCCTCATATTTTTGTTAATTTCCAGCTATTATATGGTTATTTTCAATTTTTGTTCTATTTGCCATTCCCATATCACTTTCTTCTACTGTGCTTCTTCTGTTTTGATCATATTTTGCTTGTAAATATAAAACACTTCGTTCCATTTTTCTTTTGTATCTTTTGTCTCCTTTTTTTGCATTACTTACATATTGTTTCTATTTTCGTTTGCTTTATTTTTCTTGTCTTAATGTCTATTACTTTTTTACTTTCTTTTTGCCTATTCCCATTTCTATTACGTTTACAATATCTTTTCTTCTGATTTTTAATATTTTGTTCAATAGTTATGTTATTTCCGTTATTGTATCTATCCCTTTATTGTCTTGTATTGATATTCATTAGAGAACATGCATTGATCATGTTAAAATGGTAGAAAATCATTTTGGTAAGTGGCTAGAGCAATGGAAAACTTAATAGACCCCATAATAATAAACCTCAAAAAAGGTAATGATAATGAAAGTAGTTATAGTGAAGACAGCGACTTCTAAAGATAGTTCTTGAACTTTTTATTTTTGATTTTAGATACCAAAGTGTTACTTTGACAAGACATTAACAACATATAATCTTCCTTGTTATTTATTGGTTAAATTTAATTCGTTCAATGTTAAAGTGCAACAATTTTGTCAGAAGGTTTATTTTAATTTTTTGAAAATAGTATAATTTTTTTTCATTTAAAATTTAATTTACGAATTGCGTTTATTCTATTTCATACGCCGTGACCTTATTTATATTATAGAAACTTGTTTTGCAAACTACGCCTATGGAATGTGACGTTATATACCCACTTTTACTGGACTCCTCTTTTATTCAAACTATAAAAAATCTCAATGAAAGGAAGGACAATAAGTCAATGATGATCGATCATTGGTAATGTAAAGCAAATTATTGAGGCAGATTTAGCAAAAATTCCTAATATCACGAGTAAACATTTAAGGTCAAGTGAAGGTCAAGAAAAACCTTTTTATATAAAAAGGAGTGCAAAATATTTTACTAAATATTAAATCAAGTATTGAACAAAAATAAAACGGCAAATAAAGTTACTTTTCATTTTTTAAATAAAAACATTCTTCGGCCTTATGACACAGTAGTCAAATCAGTCACCAAGGTTCAAAATATAATTAGAAAATTACAGGTATCCAATAAGTTTATATGATTTTTTTTAATTCCTTATTATAACGATTAGGATTTTGAGAAATTATAAAAATCTAAAATGAACTCTTTGAATCACCACTAAGGAGGATATTGCCTCTATCGACACTGTAGACGTGTTTGTGCAAAACGATTTAAAATAGCACATGTCTCCCCTACCAAACCGGAATCGTTTCTAAATATAGTCTATAAAAAGTAATTGTCTCAATGTATACTACATACATGAGTACATTTATCATCTGAATTGTTCCTTTAATTAACAAATGTATGAAAATAAAACCATTGAAATTCTAATTTTCAAAGACCCGGCCTAGTACAATTTATCCTTTGAAACGGACAAAGGACGCGAGCAAGTAATTTCGTACAAAAATGGTGGTATTTTGCATAAAACCGCTATAATTCCTGAGTATTTCCTGAAATTTTCAGGCCAGGCGTGCTGAAAGTCAAGACCAATTAACTGAAATATTCCTTTATGCTAATAAGTTGAAGCATAATAGCCTTAAAACTTTATATTCTGCAGTATAATGAAAAGTCCTTAACATTTTACTCTTCCAAAAATATTTATTCTAGCCCGCAAATTTGTGGCACCCAAAAATAATGTTTGTTCTCGCTTCTCTTTTCTCCTGCAGAGGGAGTAGCGAACATTTTTTTCTGAGTTTTCGGCCAATGGAAAGTTTCAGGACACGCCCAGTTCATCCTGTGGTGCGTTTTACCTCTGTCTCTTTCACCGTATTTTTTAAATGTTCTGCTTGGGACACTGTAAAAAATGCTAGCCCAATTTAATGCTTCAATTGTTATTTAAACAATGTTGTAACAACTTGGTATTGCAGAAAGCATCCAACTAAACTAACACTTAGAATTTTTTACAGCACGAAAAAATATGGGTTGAAGATTTAAAATTCAATTTAAATTTTTATTTGTAGCACGGTTGCGATGTACGAAAATAAGTAATCAGTCACTGACCTTTTTTTTAGGTAGGCGAGAATAAAACGATGTTTTAATGAAAAAAGGAAAATTTAAAATAAAATTGTTGGATGGATTAGTACCTAAGTGTATAGGATCAATACATTGCATTCCAAATTATGTTAATAATATTCGAGATTAAGTTTTACTTTGACCTATTATCGTGTGAGGATGTCAATTTCAATTATTATTCTGCAATGCCTAAATATTTTAAATAGGTGTCTAAGCATAACATTACATGGATATAACAGGGTCATAAGTTGGTCTAGCATTGACATTTTGTTTGTGTAGAGTATTGTTACAGGTCATTATTGAATAACCTACACATTTATTCTAATAATGGAAATATCCAAGTTGACGTGACGTTTTACTGTATTGTTTTAGTGCCTTCTTCGGTAGTTATTATTAAGAACCATTTTTTTTTCTTTGAATTAAACATTGTTTTTCTATAAAAGTTAATTTTATATAAATCTTTTGGTACAGAATTGAGGTGTTTCTTTTAAAATAAACTAAAACATTTTTTTTTATTTTTTTCCTATATTCTTAGTCATGTCAGTTATTATTTTTTTATTTATAGTTGGTTTTATGATCCATTTTAGGGTGTGGGAGAGGAATCGACCCTCATGTTTCGCAGCAAAGCTTTTTAGTTTTAATCGTTGTCTTTAGCATCTTCTTTGACTCTCATAAAACATTTTATTATATATTGACAGCTTAAATCAGGAATTCCCAAAGTAGTCGGTACCGACCCCTTGGGGTCGAAATCGGTTTCTCAGGGTCGACATAAACAAAAACTGATTTTGGGGATCAACGAGGTCTAAAAATCGACCCTAATTAACAAAAGCTTTTATTTGAAACTTTAAAGATACTGTATAAGTTGTGTTGCGTGTATCAACTTGTTATAAGAATGACTAATATTTTAGTATTATTGTTGTACTCTTAAAAAACTCAACTAGTCAATAAGTGTGCACAAGTTCGTACAAGATGAAAAACTCAGCAAGTAAATAAACGTGGACAAGTTCGTGCAAGATAATAAGTTCGAGCATACAAGTTTTTTAGACACGTTTTGACTTGCTCTGTATGCAATTTAACACGAACGAATTCATGCTCAAGTCCAAACATGGGCCTGTTATTTTACCATAAGTATAATAAGCTTGCACTTAAGTTGAAAGTTTATTTGCGTTTTAAAATTCATTGAATGATTCTAGAACTCATCGACTAATTTATTTCAAGATATTACAGAGCATAGAGTCGAAGAACACGATTTTCCATTGTGAGCCATTTAGAGTGCACCTGCTAAATTTGATGAGAAATTGCCGCTTGATATTACATTGCAAATGTCATATAAATATGATTGATCAGAACTTAAATCTCTAGACATTACAGTTATATTTGGCAACTCACATTTTATTGGAGTAAAATTTACAATTTTAAAACGTTCACATTTTTCTAAAGACCCGATTTCACCAGAATATTAACGAGGTCCCACTATGCTGCCATCTAAATGTTGGAATAAATGTTATAATGGCAATTCGTTGGCGTGTAGTTGGCAAATATACAATTGTAAAGGACGTTTTAATTCATTCTCAATATACCTAATAACACCATTTTTATTACAGGTGTTGAAAACAGTACCACCGCAACCCACAGCCACCAAATCATCTAGTTCCAAATTGTTTTTAGCAAAAAAGTCCAATATTGCTTTCCCAATTGACTTTGTCGTCTCTGCAGCTGGAGTTACGTGGCCAATATTGATAGATTCAGGTTTTTGATAAGCGATATGTGTTCTGCAATAGGAGTTTTCTTGTATAATCTACCGGTTTTCTTTTCTTGCAGTAAAGTTTTGTCCTTTTTTCCATCAAAATACAGACATGTTCTTCTGTTATCACTTTCAAACTCTTTCTTGCGGTATTTCTAGATTTCTTTTGCTCTCCTCTCACTTTATTTTTGTCAACTATTTTCGACGGATCTTCTGTGGTAATTAGTCCTACATCTTTTAATGCTGCACTAGCAATCGCAGCAGCTAATTGATCAGATATACCACATTTATCGCATACAAGACTTAAAGTAGGTAACTTTGTTCTTGATAAATAAAAATAATTGTTGAAATAAATGTGTATCTTACGCAAATAATATACATAATGATTTTTGCAAGAGTTTTAAAGAATTCTAGAATTCGTATGTACATTGGATATTAGGATCAAAAAGGTAAAGGGCATATTTATTATTTTTACACATTGGGCTATCTTAAGGGGTAAAGATCTCACAAAATATTTTTTCACAGGAGTAAAGGACCAATTATTTTTAAATGGGCAGACTTATGGGTCACATATTTTTCTTTTTGTCTCTATTCTCCTGTTTTATGCGTGAAATCTACTGTTTTTGCCTACTTAACAAATTTTGTTCTTAATTTATTAAGTTTGCCTCATTCTTTAGCAAATGGTCAAAGAATATTTTCTCTAGTAAATTTGCAAAAGTAAAAGCAGCGTAATAAGCAGCCACTACTGTAGGTTTGCTCCATAAAAAAATCTCAAAATAAACATTATGTTTTTATTTAAAATGCAACTAAAAATTAATAGAGCATCATAAAAAGAACATTCATGCTAAACACAACGTATTTGAGTTATCTGATTTAGACTGATCTAAAAGAAATAATATTTTTCGTTAGTTTCTTTTTGCTGTTATTTTGTTTTTTTTTACCCATAATGTTTCAGTAAATGATTATCTGGCAACACTACCTAGATCGAAAGAATGCAACTACCATTTCTATAAAATATCGACTAACCACCTCGAAATACAAGCGATGACTAAGGGAGACAGACAGCAAACGATACCCCGAGACTGACCTACCTGTCATCGAGTTCTGTCTCTCGGATGTGTTTTATATAATTGCATGTGTTTGGACGTGAAGAGACCGTTTTTGGTCGTCTGTCTGTTGTCGTCTATCGCGCCTTCAAAATGGTACCTTAAATGGGCCAATTATTTTTTATATGGACAGGCAAAAAGGGTAAAAAGACCAAATATTTTTATATGAGCAGGTTTAAGAGCTAAAGTGCACAACTATTTTTATATGGGCTGGCTTTAGGGGCAAAGAGCCTTAAACATATTTACATGGGCAGGCTTAAATGGTAAAGGCCGCAAATATTTTATTGTTCAAACAATTTGCAAACCCTAATCAAAGGGGGTCTTTTGTTCAAAATCAAATAATTTTTTGTTTCTATTGAAATACGAGTTTGCCCGTGAGGTTCTGAGACTCGATAAGGTGGGAACTACCAATTTAGCATCTTTCGAATTAATATTTGTTTTTGTTCATTTTGCCGAAGAGTAAAATCAACATAGCACTGATTGGTATGATTTCTTTTTATTTTCCACATTTTTGTTTATTGACTTGATTCTGTTGCAGGTGTCCTAAAGTTTTTGTTCTATGGATTATTTCGTCCAACTGCAGCTGATATGAAATTACATTAAATAAACATGCTTTAAAAAATCAACGTCTGCTGGAAAGATTAATATTCATTTTTAACATTTTATCGGAATTATGTATATTTTTTCTTGTCTGTGCGAGCATCATTTACTATTTAGTCTATTTACTTGATATTTCTAGAACTCTATATAGATTACAGTCCAGCAAATAGCTATATTTAAAAAAAAAAATAGGGAAAACTGGTTATTGCATGTGATGGTTTAATAAAAATAATTTAATAGCATTATTCGTACATTAATCAACTCTATGGGAAGGACACAGTCAGGAGACTAGAATTTTCAAGCAAGAAGAAAGCTCAAATGTTTAGTTATTTTACATTTATACAACGTAGCCGAGACACAGAAACCATACCAAAATTTTTCGGTCGAAAAGGAATATTAAAATACCACATGCCTAACGAATTTTTGACAAGATGGAAAAAGCATTACTAAGGGAGAAAATATTTCAAACACGAAAAGAGTGATCAAGAAATAAAAAAACAAATATTTAACTGCATATAAAGCTAAGTCATCTACTAGAATGGGAAGATTGGGAAAAGATCGACAGAATAACACACAGTAGAATGGAATCAACCCTACAGTTATCCAACTAGCTAAAGGAGAAAATTTCAGCGTAACCCCACATACAATACCTACAGAAGAAACCATTTCGAATATAGAAGCCGGAATTGAAAAACCTCTACGTGATGTCAAAGAAGAGGTATGCAGTGAATCGGCAAGAATTCTACGGAAAGCCAAACCACCAAATAGTAATATTTCAGGAGGCGAGAAGGCAGCTATAAGAAGTCTTAATGAAGATAAAAACATCATAATTCTACCCGCCGACAAAGGAAATACAACATTCGTCATGAAACACATCGGACTACAGGAGCAAGTTGAATGATTTGGTCAATAAAGACACATACAGGAAACTGTCCAAAAAAACAACAAAGAAGATTTTAAGAAAAACCACCAAACTAATAAAACAGTCGTAACTACCATTAAAGACAAAGAAGAAAATCTGCACTACTGAAGCTTTGCTACTAAGCTACTAAGACTATACACCAAAAATGCACAAATATAATGTACCACTAGGACCAATATCAAGTGTCTTAGGATTACTAACTTACAACCTGGACAAACATCTGGCGAAAATTCTGCAAACACATGAGAGCAAGACAAAAATCTACGTGCGAGACTCTGCGCACTTCATCAAACACTTAGAGCCTAACGACATCTTAGTCAGTTTTGACATCATCTCTTTATTCATAAATGTGCCACTCGAAGAAGTAGTGACACTCGCTCACATCATCATATTTCCAATGGATTCAAACAAATTCAAACAAATTGAGTCGCAGTCCAATTGGCTTAGTTGTGGCCAATTTTTACATAGAAAAATTTGAAGAGAGAGCTATTCTCTTAAAAACAACCAAAGCATTAGCTGATGTATGTAGAAGGCGCATTTGTAATCTGGAGCCACGGAAGGAAAGACTTCCAGAATCTGAACAGTTTTCATCCTAAAGTCCAGTTCACTTTGGAAATAGAAGAAAATCGACAAAATCCTTTCCTAGATGATTTAATCAGCCGAAAGAACAATAAACTAGGCCACAGACTATAGAGAAAGAATACACACACTGCTCGATATCTACAATATGGATCCAACCATCATCCAAAACAGAAGCGCACGATTATCAACACCTTAGTATAAACAGAAGTTTAAGGACATGTGAACCAATATACATCAACGATGAGATGAAACACCTGACAATAGTGTTACAAGCAAACGGATACAGCAAAAAAGATATAACCCGTGCTACTCGCCCAAGGGAGAATAAAACCAAGTTTAGTGAAAAATAAACTCACGAAAGTGTCTATCTACCATACATAGAAGGTGTCAGTGACCTAATTGGCAAAATCCTAAAGGAAAAGAAAATAGGCACTGTCTACCAGCCAACAATAAAAAATAGGGGAATATCTTAAAACAGCGAAAGACCACAGAGACTCCCTTAAGATCAACAGGAGTCTACAGAATTCAATGTACTTTTGGAAAAGTATACATAGGACTAATTAAGAGAATCAATCATTGGTACATGACTAACAGAAAACAAACGAAGTTGTCGTTTAGGACAAACCGAAAAGTCTGCAGTCGCCGAAAACACATTATCTGACGGAGAACACAAGATCCTATTCGAAAACATCGATCTTCTAGCAACATTAAGACATTACTCGACCAGATTGCACTTGGAGGGTATAAAAATATACAAACATCAAAAGAACTTAATAGAAAAGAAAAAAATAACATTCCTAGGATCTGGCATACATCCCTAAATCGCGCGAAAATAAAACCGTCTAATACTAGTCACACCAAAAAAGAGCACGTAGACATGCATATAAATACTACACACGGAGCAACGAAGGATTCAGTTTCAGTTGATACATCGAGAAGACTACTTTGTCCACGCCACTGAAGATGGCTGCTGCAGTTGCAGCTAGAACGTTTGGTAGTTAACCAAGAAAGACCACGGCATAACAGCCCGGATACAAACAATTCCGTTGAGGCCGGCCGTAAAAGCTTACATTCTTAGATAAGTATTATAACTTATAAAGCGCAAAAAATTATTCATTTTTATAAATAAATCCAATGATCTAGCTAAAATCCTACTTAAACGAACTAAGTCCATTGTTATATCAATAGAATAAACTTAAATAATGCGATAAATAGTCATGGAAAGTTTTATCTTGATAAGTGATTACAACGTAAAATTGTTTAAGTTAAAATTATTTCAATATTTTATTAGCACTAAGAGTTGTGGCTTCAATGGTTTCCTACAATAATTCCAAAAAAATTAATACCTTAATAATAATTTTGAATTTAAATTAAACAGATCTTCTGGTCCCTTTCTTTTTCTATCTACTGTTCTGTTTCCAACTCCTGCTTCTCTATTACACCTTCAATGCCTGTTTTTTCATATGTCCGATTCTCCTGCCTGCTTCTTTTATGGCCGACTAGAGGGGGCAGCCGGGACTAATTCCCGGGGCCAGAGTTCAAAAGGGGACCCGGTAGTGGTATAAGGGAAGCCCGGTGGTGTTTGTTTCAGAAGTTCGACATAAGGTGGAGGAAGTTCTTACTTGAAGACCTTTTTTTTAGAGAAATTCAAGTAGAAGAGGAGGAGGAGAAATTTTTGCTTGAAGACCTTTTTTTTGCGGGGCCCGATCTAGAGGATTGTCCTGGGGCTCAGTCTGGCTCTCGGCGGTCCTTACTTCTGTTATACCTTCTGCCTTTTTGTACCTCTTGTTTTTCTGCTCTAACTCCTTTTTTTATAGCCGCTACGTTTTCAAATATTCTTTTCATTTTTACTCTTTTTCTATCCAGCTGTCTCCTGCTCTACTTTACTTCTGTCCCTACATGTTTTTTTTTCTGCTACCTACTCTGACCTGTGCATTTTCTTTCTGCCCAACACTCCTTCCAACGTTGTATCCACCTTTTTCTTTTCATTCAAATATGTTTGCTTTTTTATTTCTTTATTCAACTTCTACACTTCCTAACTTTTTTTAAAAATATCTTTCTATTGTCTATAAAATTTATCCCGTTCACGATTCTAAAAATACCCTCTAATAAGTCTAAAAATTCTTGACAATTAATAAAAATAATATTTCTGCTAAAATTTTACAAATCTCGTTACCCTAAAGCCATTGGAACAACTTATCGATACATAACTCCAAAAAATGAAGAATGTTTGATTATTTAGCACATTGTTATTTTTTTTTTTTTTTGAGTTTGAAGAAGTAAAAGCTGGGAACCCAAAACGTCTCACTGAACATGAGATGCAAGCACTAACACAAATGATATTAGATGAAGAAGAAAGGGAGGGGAGGGGACACAGATACGTTAGAGGAAAAAGTTATAGCAGAAGTGGCTGAAGATTCGGATACGTCGGATAAAGAATTTTTGATCTCAGAAACAGAATTTAATGGGGAAGATGAAAAAGTAAACCACTCCAATAATTGTCCTGAGGAAGATTACTATGTAGATAAAGATAAAAAACCTAAATGGAAGAAAATCCCTATTTTATCATATTATATATAATTTTTATAAATTTAAAATATTTTATTTAAACAGTAAACAATGATACTTTATTTGTTTTTTAAGTATTTTAGAGAAAAATAAATAACAATAAAAAACACGTATTGTTAATACATTTTTAAAATATTTTCTACTGGTAAACTTGTTTAATATTTTAGAGCGCGTCTATTTAAAGGTTAAATTCACTCCTATACGTGTAGCGTAAATATACTGGGCTAATAAATCACAATATTTAAAAAACTGATAATTTTCTTCCTAATATTCCTAACAAATAGATGTAAATAATGTTAATCTATATTGGTGAATCGGGGGACAAAGAGCTAGTGTACAATAAAGACGTTAAATCATTCGACCGACCTGTTTCGGCTATGCATGGAACGAATACAAGACTATACTTGGAATCGCTAGAAAAATTGCTCCTCATTATTTTGAGCGCGTTTAAGCCGGAAAGAGTAATGCCATGATTTAAAGTGGAAAAACGAAATGATGTAAATTTTTTAAACTTAACACAGAGAAAAAACACAAAGCGTGAAAAACTGCTTTACTGATTAAAATAAGGATATCCTTCAGTAAACAGTTTTTGTGGAGTTCATAATGGCAGGACGCTTTTTCATTAATTTGGGATCCCAGTACTGTCGAAAATATTTTCTTACCCTTACCTTTTTAAACTTGTAAAAAGGAAATAAGTATCAATAAAGAAAATAAACTGAAGAAGTAAGAAGGAAAAACTTAATGAAAATTAGGACACAAATTAAAGAGAAACAGAAGACATGTTTTAGGATCAGGAAGAGGGAATACTAGAAGAAACATATGAAAAATAAAAATTAAATTAAGATAACATTAAAACCAGGGGGTGGTTTCTCCATTGGTTCATTTGTGCAGAGAACACCCAGTTAAATTTCATAAAAACACATTATTTTAAAATTACATAAATAACATAAAAATATAAATTTAATTATAATATTTTTATTTTCAAACGTATTAATCTATATTTTTTATTACATCATTGCCCTCTGGCTGATCGCGTCTCTGTGGCAGAATATACTGTGTCTGTGCCGCATTATGATGAGTGAATCTAACACGAGTGACACGATTTGGCGAATGCATATATCTAAAAAGAGAAGATAACACGCCAACAGATCCTTCAAACTGCAAAAGAACACTGGCGCGCCGCTCACAAACAAGGTTGCCAAATCAGTGTTGTCAGTCTAGTACAATTCACAATTGCACTAGATGTAGTACATTCTGCGTGTAAAATATATATATTGTGTTCCTTGTTTGGGTTCATTATCAATAAAGACTCCCCTTTTTCCTCTTCAATAATTTAGATGTCACTATAAATAGAATTCGAAAAATTTGATACATTTAAGGAATCTGGTACATTTTTTAGACAAATCTGGTACATAACAAAAATATATTCTGGCAACACTGTACCAAATCAAACTGTCATTCCGTCTTCCGTCATTCCTCTACTATGAAAGGCTTTAAATAAAATAAGAATATTTATTTGTGCTCATTTAAAAAAGTGTTTACTTAGGAACTGTGACATTAATAAATTAAAAGTATGTGTGTCAATTCAACGATTGTTTCCAAAAAACTTCTTTAAGGCAAGGTAAATAAAAGTATTTTTAAAGTTTGTTGTTTTATTTAACTATAATGAAGTTTTACGAATTTAATTTGTTTTATATTTTGTTTCAGTGTCTAAGACCATGCTAAGACTATTTCAAAATGGTCTATTTTGTATCCAACTTCAAATACTATGAAGTAAGAAGTAAGCAAAAAGTTTGTAAATTTTTTGTTTCTCACAAAACCCGCTGAAA